GTACTTATTCCCTCATTAGTCATTGTATAAGTGTTCCATCTGCTTCCTTGTCTGTTTGGGTGATTGTTTATTGTGGAGGTTAGTGAAGCTCGGTGGAGCTAGTGTATTTTGTATCAACGGGAGTATTTCCCGTGTGCCTTGTATTTTCCAGTGCGCCTGTTTTGTGCCCTGGTGTGTGTTTGACGCATTTCTGTGTAAACCTGTATTTTGCAGATTAAAGCCTGTTATTCTGTGATTTACCCTCCTGCGCCTGACTCCTTCAACACCACCTCATCACAACTTGCCATATATTTCTCAACTGTACTGTGATGTTTCACAAAAGTTCTGAACCCTTCTAGTCTCATTGTTTCTACAGATTGTAAATTGAAAGTATTTTTTTTGGTAAAAATAATTATATTATTTATCGATTGACTTTTCAGATCACCCAGTAGTGCTATCTTCAGGGTTAGCTCCAGGTAGATATTACAATCCTTCAGCCATTCTTGGACCTGTGACCAAAAACAAGCTACAAATGGACAGCACCAAAACAAATTATCTAATGATTGTCTCTTCGCAGCAAGGTTTGTTGTTAGTAATTCACAGTCAAGTTCCTCAATTCAATTAGACTAAATTGCTTTAGACATATTTGACTTTACATTAACTCAAGCTTTTTGCAAATTGACTACACATTCATGAATAAGTGGAAATGGTCACCATTTTACCCAATTTCAATATTTTGCACCTGCTCCTCAGTTGCACACAACACAAAATACATCATGATGACACAAGCTGTTGGATCTGGTTGCTGGGCTTTACCTGCATTTTCAAACAGGCCCTGCTCTCATGTTACACGTTACAGTTAGTTAGAGGAGTGTTACTTACAGGCACTTGCTCTGTAGTGTATTCCTTCATCTTCTCAGGGTGTTGAAAGGTAAGACTGCATCTTATTCTACTCTATCTAAAATAATAATGGGAGCTCAACGTTTTGAAACCGTTTTGGACAGTTACAATAAGTATCTTCATTCAATAGCATTGCATTGACATTTTTACAGCATCAGCAGACTTAATATTGATGAATTTGTTGGTTGTAGACTCCACAGTTTGTTTACTGTTGGGAATCTCCACATGATCTTCACTTCCACACTGAGTCACCAGCTGCTTCTATTTAGGCTGTTGTTACATGATGATGGTTTCAGTAGCTATCAACTCTCTATTCTCAGATCTATTAATTTGTTTCAGTACTAAAGTACTTGATTGTTTGGCTGTGGGAATGAATATTACTGTCATTTTGTTCTAGTCTGTCTCTGCTTTAAACAACTTAATGTCTTGCCAGTGTTGCTGAATGCAGAAATAGGCCGGTACCCACTGACCAGGGTGGGTCACTGTCACGCCCTGGCTCTGGGGACTCTTATATGTTGAGCCAGAGTGTGGATTTTCTATGTTTTGTTTTCTATGTTTTTGGTTCTAGATCGTGTTGATCTATGTTGGCCAGGGTGGTTCCCAATCAGAGACAGCTGTAGCCCGTTGTCTCTGATTGGGGACCATACTTAGGCAGCCTGTTTTGCACTAGTTATTTGTGGGATCTTGTTCCGTAAGGTTTTGTGTTGTAACCTAGGACTTCACGTATCGTTTCGTTTATTGTTTTGATCGTGTGTGTACTAAATAAAGTATGTACGCTTATCACGCTGCGCCTTGGTCCGCTTCATCTATCGACGATCGTGACAGAAGATCCCACCAAAGGAGGACCAAGCAGCGTGTCCAGGAACAGACAGCCTGGACTTGGGAGGAGATCCTGGACGGGAAGGGATCCTGGACTTGGGAAGAGATCCAGGCCGGAATGGATCACCGTCCTTGGGAGGAGACTGTGGAGGCGCGCTACAGAGAGGAGCAGCGGCAACGCAGAGGGTACCGGCCGAGGAGGAAGCCCGAGAGACAGCCCCAATATTTTTTTTTGGGGGGGGCTAAATGGGTGGTTGGCGGAGCCTAGAGTTAGAGCAGAGCCAACTCCCCGTACTCAGGCTAGGAAGAGTGAGACTGGGCAGGCTCCGTGTTATGCGGAGCCACGTACTGTGCCGCGAGTGTTCCGGCACAGTCCTGTACGTCCTGTGCTAGCACCACGCACGTGTCGTGCTAAGGTGGGCATGCAGCCAGGACGGAGTGTGCCGGCTCAACGCTTGTGGCCTCCAGTACCCCTCCTCGGTCCCGGATATCCTGCGCCAGTGCCACGTGCTGTAGCGCCAGTACGAGTGCACAGCCCTGTACGTCCTGTGCTGATGCCTCACACATATTGTGTGGAGATAGGCATTCAGCCAGGACGGGTTGTGTCAGCTCTCCGCTCCAGACCTCCAGTCCGCCTCCACAGTCCGGCCCGGCCCGTTCCTGCTCCCCGCACCAAGCCAGTGGTGCGCGTCGACAGTCCGGCCCGGCCTGTTCCTGTCCCTCGCACCAACACAGTGGTGCGCGTCGCCAGCCCGGTCCGGCCTGTTCCTGTCCCTCGCACCAAGGCAGTGGTGCGCGTCGCCAGCCCGGTCCGGCCTGTTCCTGTCCCTCGCACCAAGGCAGTGGTGCGCGTCGCCAGCCCGGTCCGGCCCGTTCCTGCTCCCCGCACCAAGCCTGTGGTGCGCGTCGCCAGCCCGGTCCGGCCTGCTCCTGCTCCCCGCACCAAGCCTGTGGTGCGCGTCGTCAGCCCGGTCCGGCCCGTTCCTCCTCCCCGCGCCAAGCCAGTGGTGCGCGTCGTCAGCCCGGTCCGGCCTGCTCCTGCTCCCCGCACCAAGCCAGTGGTGCGCGTCGGCGGCCCGGTCCGGCCCGTTCCTGCTCCCTGCACCAAGCCAGTGGTGCGCGTCGTCAGCCCGGTCCGGCCCGTTCCTGCTCCCCGCACCAAGCCAGTGGTGCGTGTGTCCGGCATGGCCCGTGCCTGTTCCACCGGTGCCTGGTCCGGCACCGGTCAGCTGCTCCACTCCGGAGCCTGAGCAATCCGCTCCACCGGTGTCCAGTCCAGCTCCGGCCAGCAGGGCCAGACCAGACCAGGGGCGCAACGGGGGGGGGGTAGAGAGAGATTGGTGGTCACGCCCGGAGCCGGATCCGCCCCCCCACCCTCTTGTGTTTGTGTGGCGCGGTCGCAGTCCGCGCCTTTGGGGGGGGGGGGGGGGTACTGTCACGCCCTGGCTCTGGGGACTCTTATATGTTGAGCCAGGGTGTGGATTTTCTATGTTTTGTTTTCTATGTTTTTGTTTCTAGATCGTGTTGATCTATGTTGGCCAGGGTGGTTCCCAATCAGAGACAGCTGTAGCTCGTTGTCTCTGATTGGGGACCATACTTAGGCAGCCTGTTGGCACCAGTTATTTGTGGGATCTTGTTCCGTAAGGTTTTGTGTTGTAACCTAGGACTTCACGTATCGTTTCGTTTATTGTTTTGATCGTGTGTGTACTAAATAAAGTATGCACGCTTATCACGCTGCGCCTTGGTCCGCTTCATCTCATAACGATCGTGACAGTCACCTTACCTCAGGCTCAATTACCTGTATAATGTCGCTCTTATTCCCCTATACAAGTGAAGTGACCATCTTGAGTGAGGTGTAAGATGAGAGTTTGATTGAGGGGAACAGTGTGTGTTTGGAGATACAAACATGACTGTTGAATAATTCACCTGGTCCTGTATGTATAACTAGTGCTGTGCTGTTCCTTTAACTCAAATATGACAATTGGGTACTGTTTCCACCTCTGCTGTTTTCTGTTGGAAAATAAGTAATTTACATAGCTGTCTTAGCATGCATACATACTAGTGTACAGTATTTAGGCCAATTATAGACCATGTGTTATTACTGTTACAACTTCCATTTGTTATTACTATGCTATTACAATGTTATTACTGATTTCCTTTAGAAGAAAAACGCAAAACTACTCTCACAGTAGCCCTGTGCCATGCTCCATAAAGTCCCTCATCTCCAATAAAAGTCTCTTCCTACAATGAAGCCCTCTCATTAACCCCCTGCTATTTTGTGTAGGTTTACTGTTAGGCCCTCCTCTGATCAGCAATTCCATTATCCGTATTGTGTGTGTGATTAACCTTTTTCGATTGGAATTCATGTACAGCACACGCACTGATATAAATTATATACCACAACTCACTGGCAGTGCTCAATTACTATTGACTGAGGGCCATGTGACTAACTAACTAGCCTACTGATTGCCCCTGTATTTCCCAATACTCTAGCTTACTGTAAATTGCCTCAGGGACAGGTTGCTGCAGCACTGTTTTAAAGTAACCCAGATCAGAGCAGAGGCATACATACCCTGTCCTGATGGGGGGGGGTGGGGGGGGTTTTAAAATTCAGCCTGTAATCCCACTAATCCAGAGCAAAGTCTTAAATTGCCCCTGCTCCTTCTCAATGGGACTGAGCATTGGGGCACACTAACACACACACACACACTAACACACACACACACACTTACACACCAGCACACACACACTACAATACACCCCACACACATGAACGCACCCAGGCAGACACTCTAATTAGTGCGCTCATCAACCCCTCCTTGATCGACACACACACAGTGATTCTGGGCCAGTCTCCGTCCCTTGGAGAGGCACCTAGCCGTGAGAGAGAGCAGGAAAAGAGACAGAGGAGTATTTATAGAAGAAAATGGGGCCTCACAATACCCTTTTTAGAGAGAGGTTTTATTAAGGAACAGAGTGGAGCGAGAGCGTCCCAGTTTTATGATTAACACTGTGTAAACGGGCTGGAGGACTGCAAGGGCACACTCTGGGAGGAGATTCTGGAGCAACTCTGTGACAAGTCTTCACCGGTGTTTCATGCACTGTCACCCCTTTCTCGTGTTGAGGTGGCAATGTGGATGACTCTGAAGATAGGGTATTTTGAATTGGCAACCCATCTTGTTGAAATGGGTGCTGTTGTTGTGGTCCGAGGGGCTTTTTTACTCTGGTGAAACAGTTAGGAAGCCAGGTTGGATATTAGCTCACAGGCAGGCCACCTGCAGTTTGATCAAGTCTGATACAAGATGAAGAAATTTCTGCAGAACAAGAAAGGCAGATACTCTTTCAGGAACCAGAACAAGCCTGCCGTCCCTCGCTATCCATCTAAAGATGACTGTAAGTCTGTCTGTATGACTTTCATCCACTTATTGAAACAATTACTGTACTGTTTCAAGACTTTGGAGGTTGAAAGCAGAAACTGACTCTGTTGTAGGGTTAATGTTAGATTATCTGTTAAACATGATCAGACAGAATAGATATTTGTATAATTCTATATTTGGCATGTGTGACCTGTCGTGTCAGGGACGTTTTTGGAAGCAAACTCATGTAGGTTTATTCATGCTGATCCTGTTTCAATGCTATACCTGTTAAAGTTTATATAATGTTATAAAGCTTCCAAAATGATGCATTAGTGATTTGAGTGTATTACCACAAAAAGCACGATAAGCTGCACTCCTAGATTTAAATGTGTTTTCTGTGTTTGGCTATGGCAGATATTTTTGCATAGAAAACATTGCGTCTTATATGCTTGAGTCACTCTCATGCAAGCAATAGTTTGATATTATTTCAGAGCCTTCCGTCAGATAGAGAGAGATTCAGTGAACTTGGATGTACAGTAAAATTGATTAACTTTGGAAGAGAGTGCTTCACGCTCCTCGAGGGCAAGTACTCTTAGATGCCTTTGGAGTTGTGTTCGAGGTCAGCGACCCCAAGGGTTCGACAGGGGCTGAGAGCACCGCACTGCTTCTCATCTCAATCCACAGGCGACAGAACATCTTTCAGTTGATTCTCGTCATACTCCATGTGTTTCTTCATATTCCTCTCCTCTTCGTCATTCTTATTTTCTCTCGTGTAGTCATTGCGATGCCGACGTCCAATCAGGGCTGGCCAGAGGAGTTTGGCTTCCAGCTGGGAGGAAGTGGTCCCAGCTACATCCTGTCTGTGGAGGAGGGGAGCAGTGCCTACCTGGCGGGGCTGCAGCCAGGTGACCAGGTCAGAGAGATTCTAGATTCTAAACTAAACCGAAAGGCCCAATCAGCAATTATTATAATCCTTTATTTAACCATTATTTAACAAGGCAAGTCAATTGACAAACATGCATTTAATAGTACTACAGGTATGTTAATACTACGATGGTATGATAATAGTATGAACAGGGATTTATACTGGAAAAGCTGTTTCTCTGTCTCTTCCTTATTCTGTCTCTCTGTGACCAGGTGCTGGAGATCGAGGGCCAGAATGTGTGCACTTTGGGATTCCAGGCCGTTATCGCCATCGCTCAGACCCAGAGGAACATCCCTCCCAGCATCGGAGTGGTGTCTCGCATCCAGCAGGTCTGAACTCGCTCTGACTGGGACTCACCTGGCACCATCATACTGTAGCACAATGTTTGATACTTCGGATTTTAAGTATTTCTGTATTTCTGTTTGTGCCTACTGAAAATCTGACTCACTGTATTTCTGATACCTCATGTAACCTCAGAAACTGTAGGGGCAATGCTGGATTTGTCATGCTAATATCATCGGCAAGGCCATACTTTTCAAGTCATTAGTGAAAATAATTTCTCTCTATCTTAATATAATACAGTGAAAGTTAAATAAGAATTCAATCTCTGCCTCTCAGATGGACATCACCCCGGGTCCTGACGGTCGTTTCGGCTTCACCATCGTGGGAGACTGCCCCCTTCTGGTGGAGGACTGTTCCCCCTGCTCTCCGGCAGGACGGGGTGGCCTGCGGGCCGGCGACTACGTCATGGAGGTCAATGGGATCCCGGTGAGGCAGCACGAGATGGCGGCGGCGCTGATCAAGGCATCCCAGGGGCGTACTCTGAGGCTGGGGGTGCTGTGTCTGGGGCCCAGACGGAAAGTACGCAGCAGTGAGAATATGGATGAGATACAGCCTGAGGGAGACGGGATGAGGACGGACCGCAAACACAAGGCCCTGGAGTTCAACAGGAAGGTGAGGCTTTCAATTAAACTAACTGTTATATGACTTGGAGCTATACAGGGGAATATTGATGTTCAGAGAAAACAACATTTTGAAAGAGACACTTTACTGTTAGAAAATCATTACGCAAGCCTACTGAGCTTACTTCCTTAGTTAACTAATTTGATACTTCTTTGTAAAGGTTTACCATCTTTCTTTAGGGAGTCTGTATACAATATAGGCCCTTCAACAACAGTTATTGATATCTTTCAGATTGACCAGATTTTGGGGGAGGAGCCTGAGGTGAAGGAGAAGCTGTTTGCGGTGCTGAAGCAGTACGCTGCGGAGAAGAAGGTTGATTGGCTGGCCTCTGTCCTCCCAGACATCCTCACCACTGACGAGCAGCAGACGCTCATCGGCCACATCAGGTACCTACCCTTGAATCTCTGCTCCCAATGGTATCATCCATAGACTGTAAAAATAAAAGATATATACTGTAGATATCATCTGCGGTTTTGTTCAGTAAAGGCTCTTGAGATAGAGGAGGTAGCTTACCACCTGTACTCCCTGCTGAACATGACTCAGATTATGCCCACAGAGATACATTCAATCCTTCCCATTTCTACATATAGACATCCTAGTACAATCCAGGTGGGATGCAGCCTCCTAAAATCCCAATTTCTGAGTCCCAATGAAAAGTAATGGTAATCTATGGGGATTATTTGGCGATGGGTGTAAACAGGCTTTTCCTTTTGCTCATTTTGCTGGTGGAGGGATTACGGGGAGCTTGCTTAGTGTCAAGCATTATGAATGTTATCACAATGTGCTTTAGATGGACCCCATCTGCTGCAGACAGGGCTCAGGGTAAACCCACAGTGACCCTCCTGTTAGGTCAAACTGGTAGGGGTGTGAGTGAAACTGCATAGCCTCAGAGCCAAAATGGAGTCTTCAAATCAAATCTAATCTAATCAAGCTTTATTTATACAGCACATTTCAGACATGGAAAAAAACATAATGTGCTTCACAGGAAAAAAACAAATAAAAACAATGCATTTTTTTTCTCAATATTTACTACACAACAAACATAAGATAAAAAACAAAAGAATAACAATAAAAACTGAACGACTAAAAAGCCCCCTAAGGAAAAGCAAAGCTAAAAAGGTGTGTTTTAAGATCTCTTTTAAATATGTCCACAGTTTTGGCCCCCCTCAGGTTTGCTGCCAGGCTATTCCAAAGGCTGGGGGCATAGTAACTAAAGGCTGCCTCTCCATGCCTCTTGGTCCTAGACTTTGGGATAGTTAAAAGGCCAGTGCCAGAGGACCTGTGGGACCTACTGGGTACATAACTTAAAAGCATGTCTGACATGTATTGGGGTGCACAATCTTGGATTGATTTCAAAACCAATAGAATAATCTTAAAATGTATTCTAAAACTCACAGGCAGCCAATGCAGAGACCTTAAAACCAGTGTAATGTATGCTCTCCGTCTGGTCTTGGTCAGTACCCGTGCTGCAGCATTCTGTATGTTTTGCAGTTGACCAATGGCTTTCTTGGGTAGACTAGACAGGAGAGCATTACAGTAGTCAAGCCTGCTTGTAATAAAAGCATGGATGAGTCTCTCTGTATCAGCCTGAGAGAGAAACGTCCGCACCTTGGCAATGTTCCTCAGGTGGTAAAAAGCTATTTTGGTCACATTCCTACTGTGTGATTCGAAATTGAGTTTATAATCTAAAATAACACCTAGGTTTTCTACCTGGTGTTTCATCTTTATTGCCCGTGAATTAAAACGTGAGGCCAGATTCTCTCTCTGTAATTTGACTCCAACAATACAGTGGCTTGCGAAAGTATTCACCCTCATTTTTCCTATTTTGTTGCCGTACAACCTGGAATTTAAATGGATTTTTGGGGGGTTTGTATCATTTGATTTGCACAACATGCCTACCACTTTGAAGATGCAAAATATTTTTTTATTGTGAAACAAACAAGAAATAAGACAAAAAAACAGAATACTTGAGCGTGCATAACTATTCACCCCCCCAAAGTCAATACCTTGTAGAGCCACCTTTTGCAGCAATTACAGCTGCAAGTCTCTTGGGGTATGTCTCTATAAGCTTGGCACATCTAGCCACTGGGATTTTTGCCCATTCTTCAAGGCAAAACTGCTCCAGCTCCTTCAAGTTGGATGGGTTCCGCTGGTGTACAGCAATCTTTAAGTCATACCACAGATTCTCAAGTGGATTGAGCTCTGGGCTTTGACCAGGCCATTCCAAGACATTTAAATGTTTCCCCTTAAACCACTCGAGTGTTGCTTTAGCAGTATGCTTAGGGTAATTGTCCTGCTTGAAGGTGAACCTCCATCCCAGTCTCAAATCTCTGGAAGACTGAAACAGGTTTCCCTCAAGAATTTCCCTGTATTTAGCGCCATCCATAATTCCTTAAATTCTGACCAGTTTCCCAGTCCCTGCCGATGAAAAACATGGTGTTCTCGGGGTGATGAGAGGTGTTGGGTTTGCGCCAGACATAGCGTTTTCCTTGACGGCCAAAAAGCTCAATTTTAGTCTCATCTGACCAGAGTACCTTCTTCCATATGTTTGGGGAGTCTCCCACATGCCTTTTGGCGAACACCAAACGTGTTTGCTTATTTTTTTCTGGCCACTCTTCTGTAAATCCCAGCTCTGTTGAGTGTACGGCTTAAAGTGGTCCTATGGACAGATACTTCAATCTCTGCTGTGGAGCTTTGCAGCTCCTTCAGGGTTATCTTTGGTATCTTTGTTGCCTCTCTGATTAATGCCCTCCTTGCCTGGTCCGTGAGTTTTGGTGGGCGGCCTTCTCTTGGCAGGTTTGTTGTGGTGACATATTCTTTCCATTTTTTTATAATGGATTTAATGGTGGTCTGTGGGATGTTCAAAGTTTCAGATATTTTTTTATAACCCAACCCTGATCTGTACTTCTCCACAACTTTGTCCCTGACCTGTTTGTTTGGAGAGCTCCTTAGTCTTCATGGTGCCGCTTGCTTGGTGGTGCCCATTGCTTAGTGGTGTTGCAGACTCTGGGGCCTTTCAGAACAGGTGTATATATACTGAGATCAGGTGACAGATCGTGTGACACTTAGATTGCACACAGGTGGACTTTATTTAACTAATTATGTGACTTCTGAAGGTAATTTGTTGCACCAGATCTTATTTAGGGGCTTCATAGCAAAGGCGGTGAATACATATGCACGCACCACTTTTCCGTTATTTATTTTGTATAATTTTTTGAAACAAGTCATTTTTTTCATTTCACTTCAACAATTTGGACTATTTTGTGTATGTCCATTACATGAAATCCAAATAAAAATCCATTTAAATTACAGGTTGTAATGCAACAAAATAGGAAAAATGCCAAGGGGGATAAATACTTTTGCAAGGCACTGTAAGTACCTTGGTCTTGTCTTGATTTAGCTGGAGGAAGTTGTGAGCCATTCAAGTATTTAAATCACTACTACAGTCTAATAATTTATCTGTGGAGCTAAAATCCTCTGGTGACACAGAAATGTAAAGTTGTGTATCGTCTGTGTAGCAGTGAAAATCAATGCTGTGCTTTCTGATAACGCTGCCAAGGGGTAACATATATAAACTGAACAGTACCAGACCTAAAATCGAACCCTGTGGAACGCAACGTGTGGTATGTATTTTGAGTTCTGAGTTATGTTCACCAAGGGTGACAAAAAACTCTCGACCGGTTAAATAGGTCCTAAACCAATTTAGAACTGGAAATGAGAGGCCAACCCACCTCTCCAGTCTGTCCAGAAGGACATCATGGTCAACAGTGTTGAATGCAGCACTTAAATCCAAGAGTACAAGGACGGAGAGCTGTTTGGTATCTGTGTTGGCTCTAAGGTCATTTACCACTTTAACTAAGGCTGTCTCTGTGCTGTGGTGGGCCGAAAACCAAATAGGAATTTTTCAAAAATACAGCTGGCACTTCAAAAATAATTTAGTGGTTTGAAAACCAATTTCTCCAGAACCTTTCTTAAGAATGGAAGGTTGGAGATTGGTCGAAAATTGATAAGAGCTGAAGAATCTAGATTACTTTTCTTCAGAAGGGGTTTCACCATAGCAGTTTTTAGTGCAGTAGGGAAAGTGCCTGTGAATAACAATAGCTTGCACCTCTTCAGATATGCAATTAAAAACTGTTTTGAAGAAGGTGGTGGGGATAGGCAGGTAGAAGGCTTAAGTTGTGATATCACTTTCCTGAGCATGTCTGTGTCAACCAGGGAAAATAAATCCATAGTGCCTTTGCGTGGTAGGTTAGGGCACATATCATCAAACTTCTCATCAGGTCTTGCTTGACTGATACTCAGCCTAATGTTTGTTATCTTATCTCTGAAATATGCCACAAACTCATCACATTTAGGTTTGCGGGGGTAGAATTTAGCAGGCCATCAATGGTCGAGAAGAGCACTCTCAAATTATTCTGATTATTAGTGATCAAGTTAGAAAAATGAGCCCATCTGGCATTTCTAAATGCCTTGTTATATATGCCATTTATAACTGAGATGTGGTTTTCCTGGGTTACAGCAAGGTCAGTGTACTTAGAAAGCAGGTTTTCCTTTTCTCGCAGCCAAGCTAACAGCCAGAGGATCTCTTCCCTAAGAGGCTTGATGGTGGTACATTTAGGGCAGACAAATCCCTGTCCATTTTCCAGTTCCACCTTATCTTTGTCTTGTGATTGTGTGGAAATCATCTCACACCTGAAGCATTTGTGCCCAGCCATGGATAAAAACACTGGTGGGCTAGCACTGCTAGCGTTATCCTGCTCCATCTTGAGCCAAATCAAATGGGTTACTGACAGACCTGCCAGATAGTATTTGGCGGTGTTCACAATAATTTAGTGTGGTCGTATCAAATTCACAAATGTTGGCAGCATTGTTCCTGTCTGAGATCAGCTCAAGGATCTGTAAATATTGTAATCATCACTGTCTCTGCCTTTTTGAATGATTTTTTTTTGTTTGTGACCTCAACTGAACTCAGAGAATACTGGCTGCTATGGCTAAAGACTTATGTTGTTAGACATTTTAATGAAGAATTACTTGCATAACCATTTGTCTTATGTCTTTTCATGTGTGAAAACGACCAACGAGACTCTCACTAAACCCTTAACCAAGTACAATTTTTCCTTTAGGGGTGTGGAGATTACTGTTACTTCCATACCTTATGAAGGAAGTAAGTTAGAGAGGGAGATGGGCATCTGTCATGTGAGATGACACTTCCTGTCTGTCTCTAAGTCTTTAATCTGATTGGTTGGTATGAGGAATCCATCTGAGGGAATGTGGACCATGTGGTCATCCGGCTGGGGTCTTACTTCAGAGGGGAAACTTTACTAATGAGCTGTAACCAGACCACATCTTTGATTATCTGACCTTAACCTGTATTTACTAGAAGG